CATCTTGTACAGCAATTAACCACTAGGAAGAATGTAGCAATGTGTTAATTATTGAAACTGTCCTATGAATTTGACTTGAAACTGTCTCATTGATATTTATCAATAAAATTATGGGAAAAAATTATAAAATACTCAGTGTTTCCGTGAGGGGGGGGGAGATTTACCTTTGGAGAATTTAACGAGTGAATATGCAATACAGGAAAAGACTAGGGTGGGCCAGATAGCTCAGAACATTAAAGCACCTGCTTAGGCAGAGCGCAGCATCCAGGATTTGATCCTCAGCATGCCGTGCCAGCCCTTCCCTCAGGGCGCGCTGAGATGGCAATTGAGACTGGGTGTGGTAGTGCATGCTGTAATCCCAGCGCTTGGAAGGCTAAAAATAGGAGGATCACTGTGAGTCTGATCTACGTAGTGAGACCCTGTAGACCCTGTACTAAACTACAAAAAGAAAAAGACTGTAAGTAGAATCCAGAGGCCACCAGCTGATCACTACCTAAAGCCCACATATTAACCTGTTCACCTGTAATACATTTGACAAGTTGCACCAGCCTTGGATTTGATTTTTATATGGACCTTATGAACACATACTGGTGTTTTTTGTTTGGGGTTTTTTTTTTTTGCTTCCAACAATAATTAGAAAGAAGATAAGTAGCTATAAGAAACAGTATTCAGAGAAGTAGAACATGAAAAAATTCAATCCTGTTTATTCTCTTTTCAATAAAGAAGCAAGGGCCATTAGAAAAAACTGAAAGCTCGTGTGACTGTGGTGTTGAAAAGTCAAAGTGTAATAGCACATGACATGCTTTCATAGCATGAATTTCATCATTTTCATTAGACTTAAAAATATGTTGATGTTCAAGTTTTCTGTGTATATTATTTATTATACTTACATAATATTTATTAGTTTTCTAGGTTTGTGGGTATTTCTTTTTCTATGATGATGATATGTTACAAAGATTCCAAGCACATGCTTTTACTACACCATTTGCACACAGGCACTTACGTGTGTCATAACACATTGGTTCAGTTTGCTTTCATAAATGCCCTTGACTCTGATGAAATGTAAAGTATAGACATGTTTTATTGCTATTAAGTTTGTTGTCAATTTTAAAGAATGTGAGGCTAGAATTATAGTTGAGTATCATAAGTTGCATGACTCAATTTTATAGTTTAGTTTTCTTTATTTTATAGATCACTTGAAAAACTGAATATTGATGGAAATTATTTGTTTCACTTGCCACCTGGAATTTTGAAGCTCAACCTGACAGCGATCTCTTTTGAGAATACTTTTACTAATCATAGGTTTTGGACAGAGACTTCTTTGAATAGTCCACCAAAACTTACTCACATTACGTCTTTGTTCATTGTCAGAAATAGTCTATATACGTCTTATGACATGATGCCAGGGAAAATAAAGAGATTACTAAAATAGTGAGTACATTATAAAATATTTTTAGCCAAAGTACACTTTTTCTCCTTTTTCCTTTCTCCCTCCCTCCTTCCCTTCCTTTCTTCCCTGCTTCCTTTTTTTTTCTTAATGTGGTACTGAAGATTTGAATTCAGGACCTCATACAGTGACCTATAGCATGAGGTTTTTTAATTTTACTTGAGACAGAGTTTCACTAAGTTGTCCAGGCTAGCCTTGAACTTGTACTCCTCCTGCCTCAGCCTCCCTAGTAGCTGAGATTATATAGGCCTGTGCCACCACATTCAACAAACATGACACTTCTGAATACTTTAGTTTTATTTACCAGAGGGCCAAAGGACAGTGTTAGTAACATATCTGCATACCATACTACACAAAAAACTATATATACATGAGTCTCCACATTTCCCCTACTAACTTTTCAAGTACAATAGTATAGTCTGAATTTAGTCCATTTCGTAATATTCTCAAGTTACTACTTAACTCCAAAACTGAAGGTGGTTTGCTGAGGTGGGCCTTGTGACAGACCCATAGGTCACGGGGCTGTGCAGCCCTGAAGGGAACCCTGGGACCCATTCCCTTCCTCCTCTTCTTTTGCTTCCTGACCATGTGATGATTTCATTCTGCTACTTGCTCCTACCATAATGTGCTACCTCACCACAGACCCCAAACAACGGTGCCAATCAATACTGAACTGCAATCTCCTAAACTGTGAGCCAAACTAAAAGTTTTCTTCAGAAGTTCGTTGTCAGGTACTTTGTTGTAGTGACAGCGAGGTGGCTGACACAGCAGGCAGCTTGAACAAACTAGCAAGCACTGGAGAAACTGAAAACAGTGGTTAAAGGTGTACTGATAGGGAACCAGGCCCAGAAATTTTTTATATTCATGTATGGAGATGTCAATGCTCATAAAATTTGATTGCACCTGAGAAAGGAAAATAATAATAGTGATAATCCCTGAGGGCAAAACTTGTTTCTACAGAATTAAAACCAAACTAGTGAATGGTAAGTACATATGGGGGGAAAAATGCTAGTCAGGGCTGGGGATATATCTCAGTGGCACAGCACCTGCCTGTCAAGCACAGAGTCCTAGGTTTGATTCCATGCACAAAAAAAGAAAAGAAAAGAAAAGAAAGAAAAAAGAAGAAAAGAAAAGAAAAGAAAAGAAAAGAAAAGAAAAGAAAAGAAAAGAAAAGTGTAAGTGGGGCCAGGAGAGTTCACCACAAGATAAGGAACCTGAACCTGAGCTTATGGAGTTTAATGTGAAACCAAACCAAGGGCCAAGTAGTCCCAGAGCACGTCTCTCTCAAGAGCAAACGCTACACTATGGACATAGTTGACTTTAGCACAGTGTTTAGACTTTAGTAAAAACTGTTAAATATTAACTGGGTGTTTCCTCCATTTCAGCACGGCCAGGTGTGAATGGTGTCATGGGCCCAAGTTTGGTGAAGGTTTTGGCATCATCCGATCCTGCAATATTTTTGGAGTGTCCCAGCTTCCTATTATGTTTCATGTCTGTTCTTCTTCCTGTTATAGAGAATTAAGAGAAAGCAGTTTTATTTTTGAAGGTTTTTTGGGCAGAAAATTAACTTTAAATATGGACTGGGTAAGAAAGGCCAGTGACGTATCATACCATCCATAAATGCTGATTCAGTTCATGTCTTTGATTGAGAGCACATGCTCTGAATGGAAGATGCTAGAGTCCTCAGAGATTGTCCTTGTGTGACCATAACTCTTCATTAAAGTTGAGATTGTTAAGAAGTTGTGGCAGAAGAATTACTCTGGAAGGATTAGTCATGAGCCTTTGAATTTTCAAGGAAGATCAAGACATTTCTTTCATGACCAGTTTACTGTAGAAAGATAGTTGTTTTTTAGGTGTGGTCTTTTCACACATTCCTGTGAAATGACAAGGTGGAACTTCAAAGTCATCCCTGAGTTTTGCGGTGTATGTGACTTCCAAGTCACACATCTATGTACTCAGTGTTTGTGCATTTTAGTGAAAATCCATCTAGTGGCAGCTTTCTCAATTGAGGTCTGTGTTTGTAAATAAAGTATTACTCCTCTTTGTAGTTGTTTGAATTTACTCTCACGCTCTCAAAGAAGAAAAGCAAATACAATCACTAATAGTTACCCTCATCTTTATCACATACAACTCAAATGCAGTTTTAGCCTGATTCCACATGCCAGCACTACCTGTACCAAGGCAGTGGGTGACAGCCCAACAAGAAAAAGAATTTACGCAGTTACCTTGCAAAGAAACATGCACCCATAATAGAGCTTGGTAAGAGAAAAAGCATCCTGGTGTCATAGCATTAGATGGCACAGGATCCTTGAATGTATAACTTTATGTGTAGTTAACTTACTTCTAGAGCACTGCCAGTTAAACTTAATCAAATGTGGTGGTTCAAAGGTGTGTAGTTCATGAGAGGATGTCAGAAGAATTACATCATGTCAGAGTCATACACATCATTTAATATTTAAGATAAAGCAAAGTAATTTAAAAAAAAATGTATTTATTTGATACAGGATCTCGATACTCAGCTCAGACTCATAGTGGTCCTCCTGTCTCAGCATTCCCAATGCTGGAGTTACAGGCGTGTACCACCACACCCAGTTTTGGGGCCAGCACAGTGCGCCCAGGGTTCCAGGACAGGAACAGCATGCAGTACCAGGTATTGAACACTGGACCTTCCAGGCAGGTGCTTATGCCACCAGGCTATCTCCCCAGTCCCAAAATAATTTTTTTGACTACAAAATTCATTAAATTTGGATGCCTAACCAGGTGTGGAGGCACACACCTATAATTAAGGCACTCTGGGGGGCTGAGGCAGGAGGCTCATAAGTTCAAGCCCAGCCTGGGTAACTTAGCATGACCCTTCCAAATAAATCTGGAATGTCTGCAAAGGCCATAAACTCCAAAAGCTTAGTCCCCACCTACCATTGGTAAGTGGAACAGGCTGTAAGAGAAGGGGCCTTAGGAAAGGAAGCCAAGTCACTTGGGAACTGCTTTGGGAGGGGATTTGGAACCCTGGTTCTTTCCTGCCTCTTTGATTCTGCTGCCATAAGTGAGCAGACCTTCTCTACCTTGCTGTCTTACCATGATCTACTGTGCTGCCAGAGACCCAGAGTGGCCATGGACTGAGCCCTCTGAAGGTCTGGGCCAAAAGTGCACTTGCTTCCTTCTAAGTTTATTTTCTCAGGCATTTCTTAGAAAGACAGAAAGCAAACACAAAGAGCCACTGCTGTGACTATGCCTGACTGTGCTTCCCAAGACTTCGGAATATGGTAATGAGAATTTGAAATATCTGGAGAAGCCAACTAGAAGAACCTTAAAGCACAGTAAGTAGAAATTAACAAGCCATTCTAGAGAAGGTTCAGACAGGTGGGATCATAAAATTTGATGATAAGGATGCTACTGGGTATTGAATTAGAGGCTATTTGTGCTACACTTGGACAAATAATTTGTCTACATTTTGTTTATGTCCTGAAACTTTGTGAGAGGCAAAATTTACAGATGATGTAGTTTATCTGGAGGAAGAAATTTCTAGACAGCACTGCATTCACATTTCAGCATGGATATTACTGAATGCTCTTAGCCATACTTACAGTGAGAATTAGAAGTATAAAAACTGAAAGATTTTTCAAAGTTGCATTTTCACTAGGAGTGCATTTAAAGTTGTGGTCCAGGAAGTTTGAAGAGTGTAGGGAATCACTGAAGCTGGAAATGAGTCCTACGTGGGAGGGCAGGACAAGGCCACAGTGCCTAAAGGGGTCAGGCTACCTCATTTTCGAGTAAAGCATCCTGCCTGGACATTGTGGGCTTTTAGTCACTAAGCAGCCTTGTGTCTTGTAACTTTGCAAAAGTGTAAAAGCACCCCTCTGGAGTCCTTTGCCAGTCAGTCAGGGCCAACACTTGACCTCAGCTATCGTCTCTTGTCTTTATGTTCTAAATCCTCTCCCCATTTTTGAGACCACTATGAAACCAACAAATCCCTGCATTTGGTGCCTGCAACAGGGAACCTTGGTAAGGAGATATTGATAGGCCAGAGGACATGCCCAAGAATTTCGCCAGCAACAGTGTGGGAGAACGGATTGGTGGGTCGATAGTTAGCCCTGGAGTGTTATATTGACAATTATCAGGTGAAAAGCAAGAGGCATGGAGTTCTACTGATCTTAAAGAGAGAAACAGGTTTGGAAAATGAAAAAGGCAGATTGAGTTAAAATTGGGTCAAATACAGTCTCAAGAATCACAGAAGGGGGCTGCAGAGATAGCTCAGCAGGTCTGAGCAACTTTCTAGGCAAGTGTGAGGACCTGGGTTTGATCCCTGATACCACATGCCACACCAGCAACCAAGCCCAGGCGTGGTGGCACACACCTGTAATCCCAGCATTGGGGAGGCTAAAATGGAAGGATCACTAGGAATTCAAGCTGCATAGTGAAACCCTGTAGCAAATACATAAAAAAATTTTTTTTAAATCACAGAGATGCATGTATGTAGAAGAGATTTTGGCATGCTTGATGATCTTAGCCTTTTAAAAACTTTTTTATACCTCCCCCTCTTTTTTTTTTTTTTCTTATTTGGTACAGGGTCTTGTTGTATTTACTTTTCTTGATTGTGGTTAAAAGGGGTTTTATAAGCACAAAGGACTCAGCTCACAGCTCTCCTTTAAAACCAAGTCCTGAGCCTTAGCAGGACAAGGAGATTGGGGCAATGGCAGCTGCAGACAGTTTGAATGCTTTAGCCTTGCTCAGTTAAATGAGGGAAGTGTCTTGGGGGACAAAGGGGATCCTGCCCTACCAGAGATGTTTTTCTCCACAAGTATTATTTCACAAAACTTAATGATTGTAACTGAGCCACCAGCAATAATCCTAGCTTTTTCTTTTTACATTTTTTTAAACCCCCGTTTTTAAAAATTTATTTGGCACAGGGTCTTGCTAGGCAGCATGGACTCATAGTGATCCTCCTGTTTCAGCCTCCCAGTGCTGGGATTACAGGTATGTGCCACTGTTATAGGTAGCTAAATTAGATAGAAATATTCTAGGCAGTCAGACAGGGCCAGGCCCCCAAGGAGACAAAATGGAAGACAAGGTGACTTGGAACTTTGGGAGAGACAGACACTCCTGTAGTGAATGGGCCAGATCTCAAGACAAAGGCATAAACAGAGCAGCCACACACTTCCCTAGGGATGGGCTTCAGGGATTGATATTCTAAATAGGTATCAAGGGCCAGCCAGATAGATGAGGGAACTAAAGTGCCTGCTTAAGCAGAGTGCAGCAGCTGGGGTTCGATCCCTGTTGTGCCATGCTGGCCCCACTCCCAGGGTGCACTGAGACTGATTGAGACTGGGCGTGGTGGTGCACTGCTGTTATCCCAGTGCCTGGGAGGCTGAAAATAGGAGAATCACTAGAAGTCCAATATGTAGAGTGAGACCCTGTAGAGCCTGTACTAAATACAACAACAACAACAATAATAACAATATAAATAAATAGGTATTAATCACTCTTAAAGACCCAGAAAGTCACTGGCCCAACCCCCAACAGGAGATACTATCTGTATTCACGCTGCTTGCTACATGACTCGCTTCCTCATTTGGTCCTAGATTGAATCAGTTTTACCTGAATGGTGCTTGTAACCTTATTGGTTGACCATAGTTTTCTCCCACCTCATGCCCACGTAGAGAGTTCCCATGTTTTCCACCTTAGACCCAGCTCACCACGTGATTTTACTCTATAAAAAATTCCCTGGAAGAGCCAGCTTCCTGGGCAACCCACTCGGGTCCCCCTTCTGTCCCTCTCACACAGAAGCTTTCTTTCCTCCAACAAATATTCTGCTCTTAACCTCTGTTGTTCTTAAAATTTATTCTTCAGTTTTAGAGAACATGAGCTCTTCCCTGGTGTCTTTCAGTTCGGGAGTTTCATTCCCCTAAATCACCACCGCATCCGTTTTCAGCAGCCAGTGCAAGCTGGGCTGGCATGGCATGCAGTACTGGGGATTGAACCTGGGTTCATGAGCTTTCCAGCCAGGCACTTAGGCCACCAAGCTATTTCCCAAGCCCCTAAACTATACATTTTAAAACCTCAAAAGAATTAAAACAAGCTGTTGCTACTTACAACCCCACTGTTCCCTTTACCTTGAGTTTGGCAGAAATCCTAGGAGGGCAGATTATGGCTCCAAAGAATTGGAAAGGAATAACTAAAGGGTCAGGTTTTATTGGCAGCAGTTATGGTGGGAGAAGTAAGTTGGGGGAGCCTTTATTAACTCTGACAACACAGAGAGGATCAAGGCCAGGGAGATGAGAAGATCCTCTGACCTGAGACAGGGGGCGTGAAAATTCACAAACTTTTACTAGGGGAGGAGTTTGAGGGGCAGTTTCACTGACATACAAGGAGCCGATTGGGCCTCCCTTGTGTGTGCAGGACAGGTAAAAAGAAGTTCTATCCAGGGCTGGAGTGGGGAAGAAGGAGAAAGTGGTCATTGGGAAGATGAGCTGTTCTTTTGGGGATTCAGCCTTGTTGGGTCAGAGCCGTGATAATTTAGCAGTCTGTACTGAGGCCATCATAAAGCATGTTTAAATCCAGGAGATTATTTGTTGTGGAAAGGAAAATTCTTTCGATAAAACCATCCAGAAGAAAAGTATAAAAA